ATTGGCTATGTTCAGACACAACGACTTACGCTAGCGTAACGTTAATCGAGTGGTGTGAACTTGTGCGCGGCGTAGCGAACGCTAGTATTGGCTATGTTCAGACACAACGACTTACGCTAGCGTAACGTTAATCGAGTGGTGTGAACTTGTGCGTGCGCGGCGTAGCGAACGCCAGTATTATCGCGCAATCACTGGCGTACGGTAATCCAGTAACAGACCCCAGATTAGCGTACGCCACTGATTTACGACAGTCACGCATCGGTGATTTTGAACTCAACCAAGATTTGACCAATCAAAATAAACCTAGATGTAAACAGAAAATAAAATGCGCGAATTACGAATACGAATATTTCGCGCGAATACTTACGCTAGCGTTCATTAATCGCCCAGTCTGGACATCTCGCTAGTTACGCCATGGATTAACGTACGCCCGGCGTTAGATACGCCTGGCGTATCTCACAGGTCTGAACGTAGCCTTTGATATAAAACAATTTAAGTGAAAGCCATTTAAAATGGGCCAATAATACTGGGGTTAATGTTTGCTGACAAGCATTTATTTAATAATTATTTTCATTTTTATGTTATTTTCGTAATAGTTATTACATAATATATTGATTCTGCTAATCGCTTCCATGTAACTTTACCTATCTTCTCTGAAACCGCTGGCAGGAATATTCATATGTCATACACTGGGGTTTCTACATGTCACGACCACATTCTCTATATCTACAGTCGACAACAATTTTGCTTCTAAGAACCCACAGTTTTGTGCCCTAGCTTCCCACGACCCAATACCTCGAGTTACTATAGATATGTCTTCCAGATACAAAAATATACGACCGTAATACAGAACCCCCTAATTTGTGACGTCGTATTCAAGGAACACAACTATTAAGTGGACACTTTTTAGTGAAAGGTAATATCTGAGTAATAAAGCAACTCGTCATAATGTTTTTGGTAATTTCAAATTCCACTTTTTGTTGTGCTACACAACAATATTAGGGTAGTGTCAAAGAAATTAAATAACATTACTTAAATGGAATATATTTAATGATATAGGCATGTTATGCTATCAACAACAGTAAGAGATAATTTTAAATAAAGCAGGCGTATTAAACGTAGAAGAGAATCACTATGGGCACTGACCTGAAAAGTATTGTAGAAGTACAGAAATAATACTGCCGCTCATTGTTGAAGTTTTTGTTTTGTTGATGCAGACAATTATATATTGTTATACAGAACGATAAGGAAATAGGTGTGATACCGGAATTCCAAAAGAGCAAGTATAATAAAGATATCCTGTTTTCCTTCTTCTATTTTTATGCAAACCCGGATTTAAACTTTAACGTTTCTACAATGTTTATTTATGCTTAATCAGTACTGTATTGCAAGTGCATCAAGGGTCAATTAGTCAATTGATTGGATAACGTTTTTGTGTCATCGGCACATCTTTATAGTGTGACCTTACAACGACTAGGCAATCATTAATTGATATAGAGAAAACACAAAATTAAAAATATATATATATTTTGCCTTATAACGTATAATGAGCATAACCTGATAAAAAAAAATATCAGTAGAAAAACTAGGAAAAATAAATCGAAAAAATGCGGGAACATAGACAGGGGAAATAAATCTCCGGGTGGGGGAAAAATCCGTGGGGAAAAGTAGGTGGCAAGTAGCGATAGTGCTGATTTTCTACAGAAAAAAAAATTGAATCTACTAAATTAAAAAATCTTCCCAGGTTTTCTAAATAAAGCTAGAACTAACTTAATCTTTCTCGTTTATTGGTAGTAGTTTTACTTTTAATTTAATCTCAGTGGGTTGCCCCGACTCAAAGACAACCTACATACAAACCTAACATGCACATTTTCATCTTCTTTCTGTACATGTTCACATGCGTGGTAGTTACTTAAAATTCAAAATTTGAAAGTAAATAGACATTTTGAAAATAAGGACAAAAATCGTCTATCCAAAAGTACTGAGAATTTTTTCTTTGGATAAAGTTGAAACTAATACAAAAACAATTTTTTTTTAAATTTCCAATGGAGTCCTTCTGGTGGTGATTGGGCAGTACACCGGGAGACAATCCCCTATTCTTTTCTGAAGAGTGTAGCGTTTTTAACGTGCACACGGGCCATAATGCCCACGGGACCAACGGCTTAAATGTCTTCACCGAAAGACGGTGGGAGTTGAAAAGGGGACGTAGTATGTGTTTCAAACATTTAATAAATTTATTATTCATTGTGTTAATTTTTCAAAATATAAGTGATGAGCTGGAAATATTTGTGTTCTTTTCACTCTACTCGCATCATTTTTGAATATGATGAAGACGACATGCATGCGGTACTGTGTATGAAGCCTACGCCAAAAACATGGAGAAATTCCCTTCTAAATCTAGCATTTACCACGAAAATTAAAACAGCATTCTTTTAGGCCTATGATTATATTTTGTACGATACTAAATCATCACAACAAAGCAAATAAAAGTTTAATTTCATTCAAACACATTGTCACAAACAACGTCCAACCAAAAGAACACCGCTAAATCGGGTGTAGCCGGCCCCGATCGAGCGTCGGCGAAGAATCTCTGAACAAGACCACTTTGTAGAGCACGTGATCGGCCGTACGATGTATGCTATGAAGCAAGAAGTAAATAGCCTTGTCCGTCATAATATAGCATAGAATATGCGTGTATATTTTGTAAGATATTGTATTTATCATTGTATTCATCACAAAAAAAAAAAAAAAAAAAAAAAAAAATCTGGCCGGGCGTTCAACCCTGATCGAGCGAAGAACATGGGGAAAGACCACGTGATCCACGTCTACGAAGTATGCTAGGAAGCAAGAAGTAAACAACCTCGTCCGTTATAATGGCATGTAATATGCGTGTATTTCTTTTAAGATATTTAATCATCACGAATAATGTAAGTCCTGTCTCTTATACACATCTAGATGTGTATAAGAGACAGATTCTTAAATGAACTGCAAAACATCACTGATAGAGGATTTTCCGAAGTTGTCTATTAATACAATACTAACATTTTATATAATCATTTTTAAGAGTATAATTATCACAATCAATTGAAATAGCAGTCAGTAAATAAGAACACTAAGTGCAATTTTACCATAATATTTGCAATTAATTGCAGGAAACATTAAACCATTAGTAATCGTAATTGTTGTCTAACATCTTAAACCTTCTTCTTGTATGCTGTCGCCTTCAATATGCTGAAGATTCTGAGGCTTAATATGTGTTTGTGGGCAGCAGCGGTGGCGCCAGATGTTTTCTGACAAGGAGTCCGACATGTCCGATAGAGGGATTCGAGAGAAGGGGCCGATGAAGCCTCGGTCGACGGCCAGAAATAAAAAAAAAAAAACCCTTGTAGGGGTCACGGGGAGAGTTTATATTGCTTAGTATGGTCCAGGGGTTCAGGCCTGTCTGATGTGAAGGGGAAACCCCCACCCCCGTTTGCACTACCACTGGTGCACAGGATGCCTGACGTCTACCCTGAAATAATATAATACCTGTTAACCTTGTTTCTCAGACAAAGTAGTTAGTATGCTATAATACATGTCATATCTCTTGTTAATTGGGCGTGCTGACTGGTAGATCCTTGTCAAACGACCAACCCCTCAACGTCAAAATCTGGTATTTTATGGAAACATACAAACCAATTGTGTTTAATTAAACTTTTCCAAATTCAAACTAGTAACATCAAATTTTTTTCAACATCAAACTGTCTGTTTACCTCTATATAACACGATAACCTCACAATACTATTATAAATATTAAAAAAAAAAAAACGAAACATGACAATATAGCGATTCACAACATCCAGACGAAGATTTACGCACATAAGTTCTGACAATTCTACTAGCTTCATTATTATTACTTTAATATAGTGGCGTATCTAGAAGTCTTTAAATGGGGGGGGGGGTGCTGTTGTGGGGCGCGAAGGGAGGGGCTCGATGATCAGTTGAGGTGGGGGTTGGGTAATTCGAAAAATCTGGTGATTTTAGGTGATTTTTAACTACTCGCGCCACTGCTTTAATACTTCGAAAGGCAATGCTGTATGTAGTGTCAGTTTAAGTAGACGTGCAAACACAATGAGGGAGGCGGTTGCGGTTGACCACTCCAACATTTTCAGATCCCAACAATGGTCTCGAATTGGAGGTTGAACTGTATAGCAACACGTACGCACGTGACATTATCTCGTACGTACGACTTAATTATCTCGTACGTACTACTTTATATCGCGTACGTACGAGATAATGAAGTCGTATATAAGACATATATACTATTAATGTATCTCGTACGCTCGTACGTACGATTGATCTTATCTTGTATATAAGAAACATTATCTCGTACGTATGAGTTAATATCTCGTTCTGTACGTACAACTTAATATCTCGTACGTACGACTTAATCATCTCGTACGTACGAGATATTCAGTCGAACGTACAAGATAACTGTCGAGTTACTATTATGATGCACTGACTACCAGTTCATCCAACAGTTTGGTGTTCTGTGCTTTGTGTAAGAAAATTAACGATATGGTTAATTTTGAATACTATCTAGACCCCCTGTCAGGAAGTGTTCTGGCAAGATCAGTATTATTTTATAATTAGTCATCACTCTTAGCAGGCTTTCTTATTATAGGTATGAAATTCTGGGTGCAATCGCATTCTGTTTATTTCTAGCAAGTATACAATAAATACTTAACAAAAAATAAGAAAATCAATGTACCCCTCGAGTGGCTTATTTTTTCAACAACAAAAAATACAATAAAAGAGAACACCCGCACTCATATCCACCCCGTGATAGTCTTGAAATGCCACTACGTAGCCGCTCCCTCATCTTCAAACATAGAACCGCACGTGTACATGCTAGCAAAAATGTTTGATAGCAATCTTGCTAACAAACCGTTTGAAATATTAGGCAGGGGCGCTGCTAACCACAATTTTAACGTCGGCGCTGGTTCGAGTCGCTCCTCGCTTAGTGTTCAGTTGGTAGAACCAGGTCTTCTCGGATAAGGTCCAGTGTACACATCTGGCTCGTGTGCTCTTTAGAAAACCAATTGCATCTTTCGGAAGAGTAGGGGGTTACCCCGATGCTCTGCTTCATTTCAGCCCTTGCCGTTGTGGAATGATATGAACATGTAACTACTATAAGCACCTCTTTACAGCTGCTAGGTAGTCGCAGACCATACCCATACGCAATTCAGCACAATGACGCTGCGAGTTATGAGTTATTCTCTTACCTAGGTATAAGCACCCAGAGTCAATGAACTGTCGGCGCGCCATAATCGATATTTAACTCGTACGTACGATATAATTAAGCCGTACGTACGAGTTTTATAAATTAGTATATGTACGTTCTTCTTCTCTTATACTGTATTATATTCTCTGCACATGACACATCTCCAAATATATAAAATATTTGATTATTACTGCTGTTTAAAAACTAAATAATTTCATCCTACAAGATTTATCAATACTCAAGCAAAAGTACAATACTCTCATTTAAGTGTACTTGTGATAATGCTTACAGACACTGAATTTGAGCATTTTCTCATTAGAAGTTTCAATGCCAACACATGCGATAAAAGAAAAAAAATTTCACCCGAAACTCAGATTTGGAATTATTTTCACCGAACAGGAAACACTGATCCGAGAGTACAGGGTGCATGTTCCAATTCAAAATCCCTCTAATTCCGAGACACCTCTAATTTGGGACCACTTTTTCAAAGAACCGAAAAACAATCTTCAATTTTTTAACACAAAGCTAACCCTCTAATTTGAAACCAAACCATGAGGCCACCCCAAATATATAAGGATTATTAACAAGTTTTATTTTTATCGCCGTCACGTCCTGGTACCGCACTCAATATTGAAACTCATAAAATGCCGATGGATTTTTCAGGTTGTGCGGCGGGTGAAGCCACTCACAAAATTGGAGTAAGTAGGCCAATCGCAACTGACTTTATATTGTATTTTTGACTTATAGGGTACTATTAAAAACAATTCATGTTTTCGATCTAATTTACTTAGACATACGAAAAAATCATTGACTTAAAAAAAACAATAATCACGTAAATTTGTTAAACGGTCATTAAAAGAGGTAAGAAGTGCTTTTAAAATGGAAATTGTTTCACCGCAGACATAAAGCACAAAATCTAATCCAAATTTCCATTAAATTAATGTTGGTCTTGTCTCCGTACCAAAACTATTAACTTAAATTAGACCTAAGATAATACTGGAATAGTTGGAAACAGAATATTGCCAATCCACTAATGAGTTTTAAGCATCATTTAAAGATATTCTACACTATCAATAGAGAAAGCCTATTAAAATGAAATAATTTACAGTAGGTTACAAATATTACTGCGAAGCAAATTGTAGGCGCATAGACCCCGGCAAGCACTTCATACATAACAGCAAGTGATCAAATTATTGATCTAACGCCCTCTATCGTTTTAAGTCATAGGACTTCATTACTAAAAAGATGTGATTGCATTCATTGATTCCCTAAATCAAAGATACTTTAGTATAGTATCTTTGCCTGAATTGTAGTTCTAAAAGATGATTGGCTATTAAAAATCAGCAGACGTAAATTCATTGCGGTTGAAACCTGAGACACACTTTGGGCTTCATCACTAAAAAGATGTGATCTCATTCATTGATTCTCTGAATCAAAGATACTATACTGTCTTTAGTATAGTATATTTGCCTAAATTGTAGTTCTAAAAGATGATTGGCCATTAAAATCATTCAGACGTAAATTCATTGCGGTTGAGACCTGAGATACACTTTGATGCAATAGACGAGGGAGGAAAGAAACCTTGTTTCACATCTAGATGATAGGTTGACGAAAAATTTAGAAATGTAGGAAATCTTTTATTTACGAAAACATTCGACATTACTTGCGGTCACATTTGATATTCCTTGGTTATTTGTGTTTTAAGAAATTATTGTAGCCATTTCTAAATTAGGGAAATACACATCTCTTTTTATTAATTTATTGGCTGGTATCTGGGAGTCGTTTCTTTTTTGAGATTCATCAATATTTCTTCAAATTAGCTTTATCACCGTGGTGGGATTATTAACAGAAGTTACTAGATAAGGGAGATGTACATCTCCCTGATCAGACAATGCACTTCTCCGTAACAAATGTAGCATCTAATATATCTGCTGACAATCAGTGATTATGCCACCACGCTTGTAGACACAGTTCCCGATGGAAAAGCTTGTTGTATTGTAGATACAGACTTATGACATGGCAGAGTAGATAGGTAGGCCTATTTAAGACATGGCAACGTTTTTTGCACGCTTACTCTAAAGTCATTATATTTGAGCGTGTATATGATAGGATTTATACAAATGTTACACAAAGAATTTCTACTGTAATGGAAAAAAATCATTGATAATTTTTAAAAAAGCAAAGGCCCAGGATAGACCCCCGAGGACACCAGATAATGCTAAGGTAAGTGCAAAATTATTATCAGAAATAGACACGTATTGATAACGATTAGAAATGTAAATCTTGTACCATGTTACGGCTCCTCCACGGATACCAAAGTCATCGAAGTGTATCTGAGATCTCAACTACAGTACTCTGAATTTAGGCCTGGTTGATTTTAATTGCTAGCCAATCATATTTGAGAACTACATTAATAAATCAGGGAAGGGTGTTCACAATAAAGACACACAGGCGCTGATCCAGTAGGGGACACGGGGGCACGTTCACCCGTTTTGCCACTAAATTTTTAAGATTTTAATGCAAATCAGATATTCTGAAACTGTTGTCCCCCCCCCCTCCCTGTTTAAAAAAAATTGGATCCGCCCCTGGCACACACCCACACACCCCTCGCTGTACAATTCATCCTACGGTTCGAGATCACCTTTATGACCTGAAAAACTGGGTTGTTCGGTTTCCAGTTAGAGGGTTAGCATTGTGTTAATAAATTGAAGATTGTCACTTGGTTTTTAGAAAAAGTGGCGTCGAATTAGAGGGGTCTTGATTTGGAGGGTAGGCCTACATTGTACATTGCTGATAAAGGGTGCGAAGTTGGATTTGGTTCAGTAGGTTTCAAGTGCTCTGTGAGCTTAGGTTCATGGTGTAATTTCTTGCTAATATCAATATTTGAGAAACTTATAATTAAATTCAGTTCAATTTATTCAAAAACTTCTGGAACGGAGAAGTAAAATAGCAGAATAACTTTAAAACAGTACAATTTCATTAAAACCGACAATTTCATTAAATCGATTATTATTATTATTATTATTATTATTATTATTATTATTAT